TTTTTTTTTTTTAGGCTACGATTCTTTGTAGTTGGTGGAACAATTTTTGTATTAATTTTACTTACATTGGTGATAGCTTTTGCTGCACTGTACGCTAAAAATAAGGTAACTTTTGTGGTTTTACCAAGTTGGAGAAATAAAAAAAGTGAAAGAAAACAAATACCGCAACAATTTACCTTTCGTTTTCTTTTACTTTTTTTTTCTCTTTTCTGTTTTCTACAGAGATTTTTCCTAATACTTTTCATTGCTATGACTACAAATGAAGGCCTAAAACACTAAAATCAACCTAAATTTGAGGTATATATAAAGAACAAAAACAAAAGAAATTTTGTTCTCCACAACTAAGTGTATTATAAAACGTTCAAAAAAAAATACAGATTTAGCAGAAAATCTTACAAAACTTTGTTTTTCAAAACTTTTACAAAAAATTATTAAGAACGAAAGCTTTTTTTTTTGTCTCGTTTCTTTTATCGGTTTAGTAACATCAGAAAATTTTTCATATCGGTTTCAAAACACACAAAAAAAACCCTATTCTTAGCAAAGAAAAAAGAGAAAGAAAAGATTACAAATTATTGTAAAAATTAATCTGGAAAGAAACTGCTAAAAAAAGAAAACAAATTATTCTGATATTTAGATTTATTTATTTACTCTGTTTTTTTTTTCTTTTTTGTTGGCTGACTGTAAATATAGTAACAGCATCAAACAGTTTTTATTAATAATAAAGATTATTGTATTATAGACGTTTTTTTTTTAAATCTTATCTTTGTTTTTTTTTTTTTTCTTGGTTGAAGGATGACGGTAAAACTCCACGACAACCATCGCTTAGTTTGCTTGGAAAATATACAAAAGTTGCTGTAGCTGCTGACAATGTTTTTTGTTCTGAAATTGGACGGTATGCTTTAATTTTGATGATATAATTGATGAAGATAATTGCATAAACTAAGATTAGAAATCTGATGCCTGCTTTCTTTTTTTTCTTGCTATTTATTTTCGAAACATAATACCTTTTTAAAAAAGATTAAAAAAAGTATTTCTAGCACGGTCAAAAGTACAAAAAACCAAAATTGGTGTAACTATAGAAAAAAGGCTACAAACTTTTATAGAACATCAAAATTTATACAAGAAAAAAAGGAAACTATACTGAAATTTATTATAACTGTAAAATGTCAATGACTAATTGCCTGATGACAAATTGCTTAAATTAAATTACTGAACTGTAGAAGAATTTTAGTTTTTGTTCAAAGAGTTTTACATTCCACTTTTTATTCAGTATTCTTTTTTTTTTTTCTTTGCGCAAATAGTTTTACAACTTTTTAGAGATATCCTATTACAAGGCGGTAATGCTGTTGAATCAGCAATTGCAACTTTATTCTGTATCGGTATTATGGATGCACATTCAACTGGAATTGGTGGTGGACACTTTATGACCATCTATAATGCGTATCTAAATCTTTTATTTATTATCTTCAACTACATAACGTTTTTTTAACTGCTAATTTGCAAGCATACAAGTCTATCATCACTGCTACAGAAGTAATTCAAAATTTTTAGAACAAACTGAAGAAGCAGTATTTTTTCTTCACTAAACAATGGTTCTAGAGCACTGTATAGGAAGTGGTTAAAAAAAAAAAAAAAGAGAAAAAGTTATCAAAGAAATTAGAACTATAAACCTTAATGATAAGTTCTATAGATCGTTCTCTTCTCAGTATAGTTCTGCTAATAAGACAGTAGCAGTGATTTACAGTTAATGTTATTTATCATTTAAACATTTAGAACAACAAAAGAATGTACAGTTGTTGATGCTCGAGAAGTAGCACCATTGGCAGCCACAAAGAATATGTATGTTAATAATAGTAACTCGTCAAAAAAAGGTATTTGTTAAATAATTTGAAGAAAACTGTATTTGTACTTTCAATCTTTATCATCAATAAATCTATTATACATTTAAGAGGAAAGGAAAAATTGTGAAAAAAATTTTTTAGGATGGCTTGCAATTGCGGTTACTGGCGAAATTCATGGTTACTGGAGAGAATATACAACATTTGGTGGTAATATTGAATGGAAACAACTTTTGCAACCAACTATAAAACTACTCGATGAAGGTAACGTATCTTTTACATAATTTCTATTTTTTATCAATTGATTTCTATGCTTCTTCTGTGTTTCATCTCAAGTAAATTTTTGTTGCCTTTTTTCTTTTTTTTTTTTTTTTTTACAGTTTTTAAGAGCAATTAGCAGGGGGATTATACCAATTTATAAGCGATTCAAATGACTAAAAGCAATTGATATTTTGATCGCAGTTAAGCCGATAAAGTTGTTTTATTTGATAAAAATTGCTTCAAAAGTCTATTTTTTTTCTTTTTTTTTTTTTTTTTTTTTTTTTTT